TTCAGACACAACAGGATCGTGATATACGACACTTTTGGTGGCTCCACACAAAAAGGAGTCAAGTTTCGATAAATCCGGTGAGCATGGGTGCCAGGAAAACGGTCCACTACGCCCAATCCATCGATGGGAGAATGATCTGTTCAAATGGCTACGAACATCCAGTCCAAAATGAGCAAAAGCCCACACACCAACTTTGGAGCGTTGTTGTGCCGCGTGGTGCTGCCCACCGTAGGGTTTTCTTGAGCCCAGACGTGCTGATTGTGGTTATTGAATACCCTATTGAATATGGTATCATCCGTGTGCAGAAACCACTGTGCAAAACGCACACGTTGAGGATGGTCATGCGGGAGCAGTAACTGAACCCTTTGGACACGAAAGGTTTGGAAGGACTCGGTGTTCAAGACACGCTGGGCACTGATACGAGACATTCTTAATTGAGAGGCAATGGCACCGTATGCTAGTCCTTGGATTACTCTCCACACACTTTCTTCCCTTAGATTACTCTCCTTGGATTGCCCTTGGATTAATCTCCACCGTATCCAACACCCTTTCTTCCCTAACGACCAAGCGAGTCGATCGTGGCCTGCCCTCACTTGTCCTGCCATTTCTTAATGACGCATATTGGCACAAATTTTGATACAGACGTGAAACAAACTGGGGTGTGATTGATGTCTCTCGCGAAAACGTTGCCAATAAATGCGTGCAGCGGCTTGTCCATTACCCTCAGCTAAGTTCGCTAAGTGCACCAAGTGCATGTCTGCAAGCTCTATGTTCGTATAGCGTTCCCTGCTATTCGTATGTTGCCTACCGCTCGAATAATGCAATCCTCACTTTCCACTAGCACTCCCCTGTACAACCCCTCCCCTGGCGGCGTACAGGGACGTTTCTGGGCATGGGTTCATGTGCAATTCTTAATCCTTATGATGTGCCCTACCTCCCCCAGAAGTTTGTTTACGTGACACCGTGTATATGGATATTTAATTTTGGCCAAAAACGTTTTAAGATGTAAAATTGTTAAATATTGCAAAACATTTCGTCATTTTATAAATTATTATAAGAGAGTAAGTTTTCAAAGAATGTATAAACTTATAAATAGTTAAAAATAAAACTGCATTTTTATGAACTGCCTTATTCTTACGTAAAAGTTCTTTTTATTCTCAAAAGAAAAGTTCTTATACATATTTTTAAAATCAAATAAACAGAAGATTACAGGGAAAAGTCTCATAATAAATTTTATTAATTAATTTAAGTAGTGAATGATGTAGTACTCAATTTTTTTTGGATCAGTTCATCCCGGCACAGAATCTATTAATTTACTACATAAGTATATTACATCTTTTCATTTTGCTACGTTTGAATTATTCTATATTTTACTTCCGTGATATTTTTGGGTAATGACTTCTAATTCTTTCGTCTGTAATACTCTAGAGGTTTTCGAAAGTACTCGTGTCTGGAACATTACCAGGCCACCGAATAACCCCGCCCAGGTTTCTTTTCTTTTTCCTAACTTTGGAATTGAAATATAAACAATTAATTTGCACTACATTATACTTAAAAGAATAGAATCGAAAGTGTAATAAACCCTTTTTATTTTTTACCTGATATATGGCAGTCTGCCAGATTTTATTGAAATAACTACGACTTTCCTACGAAATACTATTTTCCAGGGATCACGAAATACATCATAGGATCCACATAAGATCACTATTCAGAAGTAAGAAGAAGTGTTTCGATTAGTTTCCAAAAACGCATGGAATAGCAAAACATCCCTGATAATAATGAAGTGGCAGTTCATCATTTCGTGAATGATGATTTCTTGCGTTCATTATATAAAGAGCTGGTGATAGCAACATAATTGAGGCGCAGTGACTAGCACATCGTGCAGTAGTACCACAGGTCCCGGGTTCGGCAAGGTCGACTCAGCCTTTCATCCCTTGATTTCCATCACTTGGGTCCATAAAATGAGTACCAAGTTCGCTTGGTACTCGGCGTCCTGTGACAAGCTGACCACTTGTTCGGGGCGCATATTTCACAAGTGCACATCAGCGTAACCACTGAGGGAGTGGTTTCGAAACTGTACCAATGAGCTTCTATTGATTAGTGAAGCATGAATTTCTGCATTGGCTATCTTTGCATTGGCTAGAAGATCTTTTTCATATGGACTGAAATAAAAAGTACTGACTTCTATTTACATATATAACTGGTGTAAATATTTTACTCATATGCATAGTTTTATGTAAAGATAGCATTTGGGCTCAGATGTGCATCACATATTTCTTTCGTCTTATTTATCACTTATTAAGTAATATTTCGCATGAATATTTTTCCGGAGTATCCAACATGTGTTTGTATTTATTTCAACCAGGTATTGCTTATATTTGATCTAACTTCGCAATGAAAATTTTCAGAAGAAATAGACGATGTACAGAAATTTGTACAGAAAATTGTATGGCAAAATATTTTCAACCATCTTGCCTAAATGTTAAAGCGTGCGAAAGGTCATGTGACACGACAGAAATATTACTGGATTCTCATTGGTCCATCTTAGAAACCACTCCCTCGGTGACTACACACATGTGCACTTGTGAAATATGCGTTCGGGGCATATGCTTACGCAGCCATGGTCAATAAAGCAGATTTCGGGCACTGCACGCCTTGGCTCATTAGGGCTGTTATGGCATTGAGTTTAGATAGCAATATAATTAATCATTTTTACCTTACTTAATGCAAGCTTTTGTAATGATTTTCAGCTTTAATACAGCGGTCGATTGCCACGTGTACGGGGCCAAACAGGAACTGATATTAGAAGACGCGTACGGCATATGCGCGGGGAAAGGTGTCTTATGTTAAAGACAAAAGCCATGTACGCTCGTTTCTGTGCTGAATGTTTGCGTACCTGTTACACTTGACATTTATTGTCCGTTGCAATTGACATAAAGCATTTTTTTTTTTTCTTGGTTTCAGAGATATGACCTCTTCAGTTTTTTTATTTATTTTTTTAATATTTTTCTGTTCCCCCTTTTTTCAAACTTTTATTATTTTATGCAATTTTAAAATTTTAATCTTTCTTATTCGAAGTTATAAAAAAACGCGTATATTTTTGTAATAATGTGCATGTGGAATAATATGTGTGTTGATTTCCTGAATCTTTTCAAATATGAAATTCGTTAAACTCGCACAAAACATAAAATAAATACAAAATGCAAAATTTAATATTCGGGGTTCTAAATACACATGATGAGGAGTAAGGCTACGTGCGTTCAAAATCTGGTGCGATGAACTCACTCACAGATTTTTCAGATATCAATAGTAATTGCGTTAAGTTCTAAGATTTAAACAACAGTTTTTTGCGGCAGCGGTTATTTTATTCTCTTCTGCAAAGGGACCTTGAATGCAAAGGGTTGTGCCAAATTAACCTTGAAACCTATAAAAATTAATCTTTTGTACTTTCTTGTAGTAACACTCTTCCTGCAATCATGCAAGATGCAATAAATCTGTATTGTTTATTTCATTCGGGACTTCTGTTCTTCCTTTCGAAAGAAAATAAAAAGAAAGACAGAGAACACTTATTTTTAGTCCTATAGTTACTATTACATTTCAGAATCCTCAAAATCAATAATTCACTGTATCATAATAATAATAATGTTGCGTGCGTACGGGTTCGTAATAAATTGAATGAACAAATCCGATGAAAGGAGAATAAAATTTATTCTTATGACAACGAATAAAACCAAAATATTGAAATTTCTTTTGAGATATTAGTACAATATCGCAATATCTCACAGTAGTTATATTTTAAACTACTAAAACGTTTTACAGAACACAATTCAAATTAGAAGAAAGCTAGTCCGATCTCACTACAAATTCGCTACAATAAACAACAACAGTTTTCTAAACAACTCAATAGAGATGTTTTGCTCCCGCTTTTATAAGCTTTTTTAATCAGCACGAGAATATTCTGGTATTTTCTCAATTTTTCCGGAAAGCAAAAGCGTATAATTACGAGATATCTATTATATTAAATGCACGTGCTTCTGTATTTTTAATTTTTTCGGCGTAGCTTTCTCTTCAAATAAGTCTCCCGCTGCATTACACGGTAATATATAACAGTTTTAATTAATTCTAATTAAAATAGCTAGATAAATACAAAATCCGTAACAATACGCTGTTTGAACTTATATTACTTTTCCTTATGTAATACTTTAATACTCAGTTTTTTATGCCTGCTAACTTACTCATTTTGCGCAGCAAATTTCGTGTGAATGTTCATTTGAGAATATTCGAGCTAGCTAACATTGTATGAGAAATACAAAATTTATTTAGCGATATCATATTAAGCAAAATGATGCTGTCCTTTTCTGCGTTATATCATCAATGAATAGAGACAAAACATATATTACTGTTTCACCGTTTAATAACGCATTTTCAAGTTTATTTTCAGCGGATATCAAAAATAATATCTTGCAACACTTTTGGGAACTGTAAATTTGTTTTTATTAGTAAGTAATTAATAAAAACTCATGCTAATGTTTTAAATTCAACACTTAGTCCCTTTACTCTGTAAATTACTTTTTCTAATTCGCAAGTCTTTCCGAAACTACTCGTATTTCTTTCTTTATGAGATAAATCTTCCAATATTACTATTTTTAATGTCTTTCCCTGAAATCAGTTACATGTTTGCTCATCACAAGAATTTATTTTCTATCTTTTTGTAAGAAATACCCAGCGCTGGAAATTTTATGACTATCATAATGAAATTTATATACTTTTTGCCAAAGTAATTTATCATTAAATAATTAGCAATTACATATTATTTGAGAGCAATTTTATCATTATATAATTAAAAGATATATCAGTTTTAGGATCTTTTTTTCGTTATCTAATTACGGGTTTTTAAATCTATTATCCTTTTATATTCTAACGTTTAATAAGTTCAATATAATTATACTGATTTATTATGAGTACTCTACAGCTATAGTTCTTTTTTTTTTCTTTAACAGAAAGGAAGATCTGCTGAATATTATTATACTTCTTCCATCAAACCAACCAAACCGCAAATTTCACCTTCGTCTTCAACTCCAGAAGATAGTTCAAGAAATGAAAAAATATCTTCGTCACCAGAAGAAAATAAGAAAGATGAGGAAGGTAATGAAGCTGAACGACAACCAAAGGATCCGAAAAACTCTAAAAGTTCCGATAAGGAGGAGGAAGGTGATACAAAGACAGGAGAAGCTAAAACAGCAGAAAATGAAGAAAAAAAGGAAGCCGAGGTTTGTGTGTATATTAACTTCCTAAAATAAAATGTAGAAGAGAAGTAAAATAATTATTAGCTTTTTTATAGTTCTAATTCCATTCGACTTAAAAATTATTATGGGGGCGATACAAACAATTTTATAAGTTAGGATGTGAATTTGCATTCAGTTATCTAAAATAAACTGAAGAATTACGTGTGAACTCGATGTTATCTCTGCGATTTCCAGATGGGTAATTTTGATAGAAGCCTATAATTCAACTAATATTTTATTACGTAACAATCAATAACATTATTTTCTTCGAACCGTTAAAAGAATTATTCAGTTTTCTTTTAGTTTCATTTTCATAAATTAGTCTGGTAATATCAAATCATAATGTATTTTCATTATAGCTAACATGCCTTCACGCGGAACTTAAATTCTAATTTATGTTAACTTTGGAATTAACGAAAATCAAATAATTTTCCCAGAATTATACTAAAAATGCTTTAGAATTCAATTTCTTTTAACTGCGAAAATGGTTTTTAACATATGTGCTTATTTAATAAAAGTATCCTTATATGACACCACTTGTTTGCTAATTACGATTAGAAAATCATTATACATACTGAGCTTGAGTTTCCTGATGCATTTAAATGTTTTCCTTGCTTAGAAGAGAGAAAGTTATAGCAGAAAAGAGTGTTCATTTAACTGAGTGGGAGTGGACGTTTTTTTTATCTATTATTGATGGCTTAAAAATGCATGAAGTAAAGGCGTGGAAAAATGTCATGCGGCTGATTAACAATGATAGATTTATTACATGGACGTCCTAATTTACTTGGATTTTTTAGGACTTTTCATTATAAAATGCAGATTTTGTTTACTATTATTTTACACTTTACATTATTTTCCTTCAAATTTGTAAAGTGTAAAATTTGTTTTCTCGCTTCCTCATAAAATTAATCAGGAAATTCTTAAGAGACAGAGAGTTTGGAAGCATGATGCGAAATGCGTTTCTCCACTTTAATTAAAATACCGAAAAGTATGTTTATATATTTACAGATTTCGACGGTAATTTTAATTATCTTTCTGCAGATATGATGATTCAGAAGCATTCTCTGCGTTAAAGCGACTCCGTTAGTTTTAGTTTAGTGCTATGTCGCTGGAAAACAATGCATTATTTTTGTAAAAATATTATTTTTCTAAAGGGTTCTGCAACAGCGACAGCTGAAACAGCAAAGACGCCAGTACCAGAGCGTAAATCAACAGATCCAGAGCAGGAAGATAAGCAAGGACATGATGACAAAGAAAATAATTCAGAAAAAGAGGAAGGAAAAGGAACTGAAACCGAAGAAGAAAAGCCAGAAGAAACGAAAGAAACAAAAAAAGAGGAACCAAAAGAAGAAAAACAGGAGAATAAGGAAAATGCTCCCTCCAGAGAACCTGAAGCATCTGTTAGCAGTTCAGGTGAGGAAAAGTTAACATTCTTCTCTTCTTTACTTCATACGTTACTTTCACACTAGATAAGAAAAATTGTACTGTCTCTCATTCAAAACTGACATGGTAATGATTTAAAAATGATTCGGTTTCATTGTTATAACATCTAGTTTACGATGCGATAAATTTTGCAATCACTATAAATGATTTCTTATGATAAATATTATTTAATGGTTTTTATGTGTGCATGAAACTGCAGCTACAGTTTGTTAAATAATTCTTTCATTATTGCTGCGGGGAAAATAACGATATTGAATAGGGAAACAAATGCGATTTAAAACTTTACATTCTTCTGTTTATTATTTACAACGCTTCTCGTATTAAATCTATTATTGCATTTCTTCCTTCATCTTAAATCTTCGGTTACTAGAAAAAAGCGTTTTAAGCTAACGCAGTAAGTGTTTGTCTGATTAGTAACTGATTAAACATCCAATGTTATATAAAGACGAGATTTAAGTAAATACAGGTAACAGAAAGAAAATTTCCTATAAAATGCATTTTAACATAAGCCGTTAAAATTCTTATTCTTCACCGGCATATAATACTGTTTTATTTATAAATGCGCTTTTTAAGGAAAATTATTTCAATTTTTTACATAAGGATTTTGTAACATTATATGCGACCATTAATCAAACTCAACAAAACGTAACTCTGTTTACGTTTTATAGGGATCATTATTTACACTGCATGTAAAGACAAATGCAGGAAGTATAAAGCAATCGGGAATGTTTGCAAAAGCAATTTCAGTCTTATACCTGTTCCAGCAAAATTTCTATGGCATTGAAAAACAACATTTTTATAGAGTTCTCTGAATTTATAAATTATAAATGCAATTTAATTAGTTAATAGATAAAATTAAATGGAACTTCCCAGGTTTTATGCTTGGCTGAAGGTCCTATAAACTATAGCCGTTTAGAAAACTGACCATTTAGGTGTAAATAAGGCATTAATGAAAAGAAATGCCAAATACTGAACAAGAGCAGTTTCTTATGAAACTTATTACAGACGTTCGAAGAAAGCAGTTAATTGAAGAATTTAGAACAAATATTTAACATAGAAAATGCGTATATTTCCAAAACGAGAGTTGTAAATATGTTATAGAATGAAACCATCGTATTTTGATAATTTCGCAAAGATAAATAACAATCAATGTTAAGAAGCAACAGATCATCTGTGCAATGTAGAATATATTAGTTTACTAAATATTTTAATACTAATTCAGAAGTCAAACAACAAAAATCAGCATTATATCTACAAAATTTTCACAGGACTAGTTTCGATGGTTTTACCGAACCACCATCCTCAGCTGCAAAACCGCAAATGCAAATGGTCCATTTGAAAATGCAAATGGTCCATTCCCTGTGAAAATTTTGTAGATATAATGCTGATTTTTGTTGTTTGACTTCTGAATTAGTATTTATTCGGCGTGTTATTGTGTCTTAAATATTTAATGATAGCCTTCAATCATTTGCCCTAATCTGTTTAATAAACAGGCATAATATTTAATATAACCTATTTTAAACAACTTAGGACATTTCAATGCCATGTTACTCAGAAGTGATGGTAGTTATTTCGTTCAATGTGTTATTCAATCGCAGTCTTCGATGTTTTTGTTTATAAAATAAATTATTTAATTTGATGATATTAGAGCTGGCCTAAGACATTGGAAATAAAAAGAAAATTCAATCAAAATCGAATTTTATAACTCATCTAACATTGGATCTTTACTCAACGAGCTCAGCTCGCATTCCAGTTACAGAGCGCCGTGGGAACAAACGAATGCAACTTGCCTTACAAATTTACGAATGATAGGTAATCGCGCGTACTAAGGAAAAAAGAATTACTTAATCTTCGCAATCGCCCAATGAATGAGGAATTTTACGTCTTGATTTTGACTTGTAATCGGAAGGTGCGGAATTCGAATTCTAATAAGGGCATCATTGATTCCTCATGTTTCCTTCTTTGAAAAGTTTAATAGATTCTGCAAAAGTATATGTATGTAATATAAATTCTGTAGATATCTTAAAGATTGGAGAAACAGCTTCGTGGATGTAGAAGATGGTATAACGGAGAAGAAAAACTAGGAGGTGGACATTGATTCAAAATAGTTTTATTTTCGTAAGAGAGTTAGCTTTGATATGCATAAATAGATTCATACATAATTTTTTAAGAATGCACTATGCGCCCCACAATTTGTACAGCTTAAATCTTTTAAGCAAAGGGCGAAGCGGAATAAGAAGCGATGTGTGTCTTAGCAAACAGCGAGCGAAGCAAGAAAAACATATTGTGCAATAGTAACAGCGGTATTTATAGACTTGGTTCCTTTGTTTAGATGTTGAATTGCGACTGTATTAAAAAAAGTATCCGTAATGCTATTCTTACAAAACGCCGACATAATGGCGTAATGCGGATTCATTTTCAGATGAAGCTCTTATGATTATGAGTAGTTTTAAGACAGAAAGGGAATGTAACCAAACTAAAATGAGGAATTAATACTACTATTGCTAAATTATAGTAGTTTTCTCTCATATTTATATCTCATATGCATATTTCGATTTCCTTGAATACTTTAAACCGCTATCAGACTTGCTAGTTATTCAAAAACCGCTCTTTTATGGGATCGGATCTGAAACGTTCACTTACTGAAATGAATGGGTTCCTTTTTATGACTCACCGTTCACTAACAATAACCTTTATGAAAAAGATCTGGAATGAGAGCTGAAACAAGAGCAGTTTGCGAGGATGGAGCAGGGGGATGGGACTGGTTAGCGAGGTTGGAGCGAAGAACGTAAAGAATCGAACAAGCCATCAAAACGGAAGAATCGGCTCAATCAAGGCTTTAGATTTCAAGAAAAATATTTTCCTTCTATAAAATTCATAGTTAATATTCAAATAATTTAGAAACCGTACAAGTTGAAAGCTGTAAATTCTCATCAGAACTACTTTCATAACTTTTAACTGTAAACTGTGATAGACATTAAGATCCAACAAATTTCATATTTTAGTGTTATTTACAAACAAACTTGGTGACAATTTCCTGTTGCTTTTTTCCCAATTTTTGAAGGAGTCAATTACTATTTTACAAAGGAGTTTGGGTGTTCATTTCAAAATGGGTTTGAACATAATAGGCAGTAAATCATGGGTCTGGCAAATGTGAGTTAAAATATTAAATTAAACAAACTTATTATAAATTATTAAAATTTTGATCTAATTGAATCTAAAAGTCGCACATATCTCTTTATATATCTGAAATTGTTATCACTTAAACTATTGAAACTTATCTACACTTCTTGCTTTCTGTTCATTTCGTGTAGATTGTTTGAAATTACACAGTATTAATTTCAGTGCTTGTGATAATGTTGTGTATTTTGAAAACATTGCGATTATATCTTTAGGGAGCTTACGCCCTCTTTTTATTTTTTAATTTTTTTTTATTTTTATTTTACTTTAAATTTAATGTTTCATCCATTTTAATGTGCTCTGTTAATCCACTGGTACATTTAAGGTTGAGCTTTTGAAAGTTAAAATTGTGTAGGAATTCCATAAATAATCATGATTCATACATAATCAAGATTCAAAATTTCCCAATTTTCAGGTGACCGTCTCAATGAGTTGATAGATGTCTGGATCCGGGATAGAGACTTGCTCAGATTAGAACATGTTGTTATCGCCGGACAAGGAGAAAGACTCATTGGGCGTTCTTCTGATGATCGACAAGTACAAGAATTTTTAGACTTGGTGCCCACGTATATGGTAACATAACATTTCATATTAGCTAATAACTAAGAAAGTAAATTTATAGCGGAAAAAGCACCAAAATTTGCAAGATGCTACAGAAGGAAATACGGAAATTTCTTTGAAATTTCCCAGCTTCAGATTTATACTAATAATTTCGTGAAAATCTTCAGAACCAAATCTTAACTCTAACATTGTTAAAGTAGAAATTTTACCAAATATGAAAGCAGTGCCAAAAATACTAGCTGTTAGATAAATAAACATTATATTATACTTTTTCAAAGCGAAACTTATATTTCGTAGAAAACAACTAAAGCTACCAAACCTCAAAATCATTTCCATGCATTTGATTGCATCATTCGCAATCAAACCGTTTGCATGCGCTTGATTTTGATAAACATCGCCTTAGAACTAATATGCAATAATTTCTGTACAGTGTTATCAGAAAATGCGCAATTGTTTCTTATAGCGTAACGCAAAATGTCCTCGAAAAATTGCATACAAAATGCAAAGAGCGAAAGTTTCAGGTTTTTGAATTTTAGCCGACTATTTAAAGCCACTCAAATTGAAAATCAATGCCATCGTCAAAGAACAAGACTTCCGTTTAAGAAAATAGTTTATTTTGACTGTTATAATGTACGCCCACAACTTTTCTACATTAAATAACACGTAATTAAATTTGGAACACCTACCTTAGGTTCAACCAAGTTAGCTCCTTTACAATGAAATTAGGATGCTATGCAGAATTTGTGGAGTGAACTGCCACCACTAAAATTTCAAAACTTGCAAAACAAACGTCAAAGGAATACACTCATTTTAAATTTATTGTATCTCGCCATTTGTGAGGGTTAAACTAAAGTTATACGACACAAAATTACGAGACACCTGAATCCTGCTTAAACATATGCATTCTTCAAACTGTTTAAATTCAAATAATTTAATATATCCGAACAGAGGCTACAAGCTTCGTCTAAGATCGCGATAAGGTTTCAAACTTACAACTGACCACTCTATCCTTCCGCTATGATATTTAGTTTGAGACCAGCGTTGGAATCGCCCTGATAGCACAAAACTTTTCACGGCAAGATGGCCAAAACTGTCACAAATTATGGCAATAATAACTTTACAGTAAAACTGCTTGGCACTTAAATCTATATAAATCTGAAACGAGTGTGCCTCGTGCCGAAACGAGACAGAGAAAACCTGTGGTTTAAGTTTTACTAACCCAAATATATTTGGCTTAGTAAAACTTAGGCAACTTTGCGTAACTTTGCGTCACTTTGAAAAACGACATTTTTTCTCATTCCAGAAATCTAGCAAAAACTGAGGTATAAATTTAAGATTTTAAGTTCTAAGTTAGATTTTTGTATCGTACATGGTAGCATGTTCTTACGTAAGTTTTAATTAAATTCGCAGTTGTAAGCTACCAGCACTTCAGGTGCAAAATGTTCAGTGGGATACGGAAAGAAACTTTTATTTAAAATGATAAGAAATCTTAACTATGTAAGTGTCAAGAAGCGCCATTTCCATATGTAAATATGTATCCATAAGATTCAGGATTGAATGAGGCTGCCCTCGGGTTTTATAAGTAGCCTGTCAATAGCATTAATGTTACAAATTTGAACTATTTATTCTTGTAATCAATCTTCATAGCAACACTTTTTATTGAAAACTTATGCACATGAAAAGACTTAGTTGCATTTCTTGTCCGTTTTCTTCATGGCAGGAGAGATATGAACTGTTTGGCTATTTGGCATTTTTCAACCGGATTTCTGATGAGGTCTGAAGCCTTTCAGAATGTTAAAAAGAGAACTTTGAAGCTGTCACTTGTGGTTTTCAATCGGCATCACGTAACGAATGACAAAAATAACATGAATTCATCTAAATAATCCAATGAAATTCGTAGAAGCCAAATTTCTTTTTTCGATCCCAAATTTAAGCGTTTTCTGTAGCTGTTGTATTTCTAGAAAGGCAGTAAGAAAAGATAATTATAATAGTTTTCAAATGTGTTTATCATTTAAAATAATAATTTTTGGCATATACTTTTGACTATTAATTAAACTAATGGTTAAACGTTTCATTCAGTAGATAATAAAAGAATAATAAAAACATAATAAATGTTTTTGCCATTAATTTCGCTGATCTTTCATGTATTCAGGCTCGGATTCGAGGTGTACATGATGCTGTTGTCCGAGGAAATTTAGGAGAAGTAGAATCAGTGTTGACGCGAAAGAGGTTCGCCCTGAGCAGAGATCACCTTGGTGCTAGCCCGTTGCATCTGGCTGTGCTTCACGGGCACACAGACATCGTCAAATATATCATTGACAATTTTCCGGAAGCCTTAGACGGACCAGATAACGTAAGTTAAAACTTATTTCACTTCTTTATAACTTGTTAATACAATAAATAGTTCTGTTTAGTATAGTATATATACTGTTTGTAACAAATTATTTAAGCATTTTAAAATATTAATTATTCACTTGAAAACGAATGCAAGTGAAACAATGTTCAAGAACGCCAGTGACCAATCATCCCACTTACTCTAAGCAGAACAGAAAAAAAACTCATCAAGAACATAATACAATTAAGTTCTCATTCGTCTATAGATATAACAGCCGATGGATCTGTAATGGACTGAATATAGTCACTGGATTGGTCATGGCAAATCACATTAGGGCTGTCTGTTTACGGGGAGGAGTGTCTTCGACGAGAACTTTTCTAAGAGAAATTGTTTTGTGTTTATTTTATACATGGGACAATAGAAACTCCCTAAGAATCAGCCGGGACTTAAGCGCTGTTGAACTATAATGCTAACAATGATATCCTCTCGAACTTTGCTGGACTTATGTGATCACCGAACACTACCTGTGCATCCCAAACATAGAACTAATCAGCTGGGTGCAATGAATATTTGCTTCGATCCTCGCAAGTTTTGCGATTAGCCGCCATGATCGATATAGTGATTAGCGATGCTGACTACCACACGGATAGGGTCGGGTTCGAATCCCGGAGAAAGCATTTATGTTTGTAAGTGCATAATGTCTATGCGGCATGGGGTATTTAAAATATTGGCGAGCAGAAAGTTCTCTCGAGTAATCTGTTGTTGGGGAAAAAAGATGGGAAAGCCTTGGACTGTCCTATGGCGTATTCTCCATCAAAACCGAGTTAGAGTTGCACAACTGGTGCAGCAAGACTGACAATATCTGAGTGATAGTTTTGTTTCTCTTTTCCTAACTTAATTTTAGAAGAATTTAATTAAATTATGTTAATATGAAAATTAAGATAGCTTATAATTTGATATATTTTTATTACACATACAAAGAGGATAAAGTTCTTATTTATTAGATCGTATTTCAAGTATCGCGCTTAAAATAAAGGAAAATTTGTGTACATTTTCGCTAACACTTCAAAAATCCGATCTTCCTTACTTCATATAAAGGGTAAATTTGTGTGCGTTTTCAGAGTAAAATCAAATACAAGGTCATCTGATAGCAGAATTAAAAGTAAGATTCTACAATTTTCTTCAAAAATGAAAACTAATTTTGTGTTAAAGTAATTGTCTAAAAATACAGCTATTCTTTGCAATTTTTTTTTTTTTTTTTTTTTTTTTTTTTCCGTTCCTTCAAAACGATCGAATGTGAAAACTTATTATGTCAGCTGTGTGGAGAAATGCTCTGATCTTTAGATAAAGATAAAGTCAGATTCTCCCTTTAGTTAAAGCAAAATTTTAAGCAATCTTACAACCACATTGTATAATGTCTAATATGAAAAGCAACCTTCTTACGTTCATTCACTCATAAATTCATGCATTCAACATAATATAGTATTTCCTATTTTAATATTTGCCTAAAAGCTATTTAAATCAATAGTAAAGGGCATATTTCGTCAGTGTTTGGTAAATATAACAAGACCTAATTTCAGTGACATTAATAGAAATGTATAATAAAACAATAAAGAGTAGTGTATTTATGTCGGTTTCCTTAATGCTTAATCTTATCTATGTCTTCAAAATACGAAATCTTTTCTCTGAATATCTTCCTTAAACTTTATATAACATTTATTGTATTTATTCAGTGTCTTGATTTTTACAAAATCAATATATATTTATAATTTGATTATATGGTTTTTATTTATTATATTTAGTAAAGTTGGTTGTTCACCATTTCACGTTTGTAAAAAAAGGGGGGGGAAGAGGAGAGAGAAAAATAAAATAACAATAAAAAAATTACACGTGTGTTTTACGAATTGCAAACAAATGAACGAACTCTAGCTCATATTGTTTACTTAATAAAAACTTTTAATTTCTTTTTTCTTTTCTATTTAAACATCAAAAAAGGTTAAGAAAAAAAATTAATGCATGAGAATTTATCAATTAATTTCTATAAAAGTTTAAAGCATCTACTGAGTTCTCAAACATTCAAATCTTTTGAGTTCGTCAGTATTTAAGTAGATTAGTTGATTTAATTAACTTAAAGCACGCGAACAAGTTAAAGTCATGTCTTCGCAATGGTCGTTTCAACTCTTTGCGGAACGGTGTGCCCGAAAAAGTTTCCTTCTATACAAACAGAAAATTTGAATGAAAAAGGATTTAGAGGATACTATAGGTTACTCTGAACTTTCTTTATTTATAGTAGATGGCAGCTCAACACAACCAGTATTTTAGCCATGTTTAGTTTTTTAAGACCCTCATTTTTCAAAGAAATCTTCCAATTTTTTTAGAATATAAAAGGAATTGTTTGAAAAGAAATTTCTATGTTATTTTTTGGCTGTATGCTAATCTCCTTATTCTATATTATTTTTAATTTTTTACCTTGAAATCTTGCCTAAAATTGAACGGCGAACCCGAGCTGTGCTCAGATCGGGCACACCAAGACTCTAGGACAACTGAGAGACTGTAATCTTTGTTTTTCCGCATCTCATCGGTCAGTTTATTGACAACGGTCCACATCTGTGTTCTTTCTCTCTCTCTGTTGGGGGTGATCTCTCTCTCTCTCTCTCTCTGCTGTTCTCTTGTTGGGAGTGATTTTCTAAAGGTCAAGGGTAATTTTATAGTTAGTTGTTTGGTTTTTCAATAGAGCAGTTCTCTTTCGCTTTCGTTCAAAGTTTTGCTAGCGCTACGTTTAATAGTTTTGAGTTGTAGACGTTCATTTAATTTTATTTTACAGTTTCTAATTGTAGAAATAATATTAGTTTATTTTTTTGGATTTTTAATTAGAATAGAAAAACAAAATTGAGCTCGCCTATATAGCATGTGATAGTTTCATTGGCTGTATCAAGTCACCAGAAATTTTGCTTTTCCGTCGCATTTACGGTCGGCGCAGACGCAAGCAACATGTTTCTGTAGCGTCGGTTGCGTATTTCCTTGTGCTGACTGACTGATTAGGCGTCCCAGACGTCGTTAAAAAGTTGTTCGGAAATGTATTGCCTAGTACAGACGAAGCTTAACACATGGAGAAAACGAGAAACTTGAATGCTGTCAGCCCGTTTGCCTGGATTTGAACCGGAGCCGACGATGTTTAAGAATCCGTGAAATTGCTTATAAAGCAAAAAAAGAAACATTCGGAGAAAAAAAGGAATTAAGAAAAAACCATTTTGGGGGGGGGGAATCCCTATAATGTAATATGTAGAAATTATTCAAGTACTTTTATCAGGTTCAGTGTTTCTCCTTACTTGCTTGGGGAACATTCAAGAACCTGACTCGGAACAGGGAGCTTACTAAAGCTATGTTCAATAAATGTGGGAAGTAGACAAGATACACAGGAAGGGTATACGAAACCCTTTATTTTTCACTCTTTACAATAATTTCCGGACTTCGGAATACAGAGACCAACCACTTGTGGTCTGAACGTAAGAATATAAAATATTAACTAAACTCTAACTTAACTTTGGAATAATAAACAAGGGCCTACGTGGAAGATTGGCCGTATATTAACAGGAAGCCGTATGTAGTACAGAGAACTGTTAACACTACAATACGTTTAAAATTATTAAGAGGATTAAACCTCTGGCCTGGAAGGCAACCAGCAACCGAGTAAAACTGCTAAGGTAAGCGGCCTGCTTCGACTAACTCCTTCCTCTCTCTTGCTTGGCAAAAAGCCACAACTTAAGTACTTGGCGTTCGGCAGACAAATTTTGCATAAATAAGTTAAAGCTTTTAATTCTGGCCGGAAGTAGAAAATAAGAAGTGATAGTAAAGATTTAAAATAAAATAAACGTTAGTAAAACTTAAGATCCTTACACTTTATCAAAAATAAATTTATGTTACGTGAGAAAGAACACCTTTAAACATTTCTAAAATAATATTATTGAGAAATAACTCTATTTAAATAACGGGCATATTTTTTTTTCTTTTTTATCTATTCAAAACATTACTTACATAAACTTCTGATTTACGATTTTAATTCGTCCTTTTCATACTACACTAGTAACGAAAAATTATATTTTCAATATTATTTTCTAGATGAGGGCAAGACAAGTTGGCTAATACTCAGAAATACTCATTTTATTGATTCCTGGCGTTTTACAGTTTATTTTTCCAGTTTATATGCTTTTATTAGATTTTATTATCTGTTGTACAATTAGCTGTTGATTTTAAGAAACTCCAGTTCAATAACTTAACTTTTATATGAGGGTAGGAAAATATTTAAGGTACTTTGGTAGGGAAAATATTTAAGGTTTCAATGGTATTCCCATTTATAAACTCTGGGTTTTATGATTTTTTCCCTGTTTTCACAAAACACCGCTAAAATTTCTACCTTATTCTTTTCCTGCAAAACGCAAAAGAAGAGTTTTGTTTTTCGTTTGATAATTATCTAAAATTTTGCATAAAGAGCTGATATATCTGTACATCTGAAAGAAATAATAATGTTCTTTTTAGCTTTCTAAAATTTTTAGCTTAGGCCTTAGTGATAACTTTTCGATCTTCAGTTTGTTAACACGTTTACTGAAAGCTTCAGCTATATCTGCCTTTATTTTCAGGAGGGAAGAACACCATTGCACTATGCAGCTGTTATGAGGGATGGTGGCAGCTATTACCGCATCTTACTCATGGCCGGGGCAGATGAAGCTGTTAAAGACAAGGTAAGCACTTTTTTAACTTGAAAGTTACTTTGGTGAAATTCTTAGCTTAATTGTTTATTAATATTAAGAGTCTGTTAAGTTTTTCTTTTAGTCTGTTGAGGTTTTCGCTTTCAGTACCGTGTTTCGATCAGTTTCGCTTTCCTTATTATATAATCCAAAATCAATATTTTGAGGGTTTACTTTTCATATTTTTTATTATGTTATTAAGAAGCTGGCTGCAGTTTTTTATATCATCTGAAGAAACTATTGCTGAGAACTAATTAAAATTTCTTATGATTGTCAAACAGGGGTACCAAATCCACATAAATGTTCCTCAGAATATGAGTAAAACAGTTCTTCCTTACAACGCATTTGGGAAGTAAAATGTCCACTTAGTTTCACAGAAATAATTTAAATAAATGGATAAGCTTCTATCTTAAGCACTCAGTTATTCAATGCTGACTATATCTCCGATGCATTTCTTCAGAAAATGGATCTGCTGTACTTAATACTCAGGAAGGAAAGCTGGATGATTATCTTTGGAACGATTGGATTGAAGAAGGGTGAATTACGTAATTGTTACTGCAAAGAACTTAAAATTTGAACGGTTAATTTTGCTTTTATTGTTTGGCAACGACTTGGTTTTTATTTATTCTTTTTCTCCGCTTCATGGAGTTTTGACGTAACTGATAGATGTATTCTTTGCATAATAAATATCTCATTGTAATGCAAACATTCTTATTTGTCATGTAAGATTCATACAGTAAACTTCCCTTTCAATATTATGGCTAAACGTGATATTACAATTTAATTAAATTAGAAAGAGCGCATTTTCGATATTTTTATATGTTACGGTGAAACACCGAAATCTGGAGAATGTCGACTTTCACCGGTGAATGTCAACATTCACATAGTCTCTTGGTGTATGTCCGAAATATTTTCCAAATACTCTTATTTCTGACTTACACCGGTCAATGTCGACATTGAACATATAACAATATTATATTTTCTTCTCCGTAATTCAGTCGCGAATAAACGCACTTGAGACTTGAAATAAGAACTTAAGAACATGAGAACCTAAAACACACAATACATTCAAAATGAGAAAGGAAAATAATAGAAGTTAAAAACTTACTTAATTATACAGTATGTTCTAAATGAGAAAATATAAAATAACAGTAATAAAAAACTTACTAAATTATGTGATTCAAATCTTATTTATTGCAACAGCTTAAACTATTATGGCACTTTGACCTCTTTTTTCGACTTTCACCAGAGCATATCTGTGATTGTCGACATACACCGGTGAGAGTCCGAATATACAAGAATGTAGTGAAATATTCGTCTTTCACCGACGTATTTGGTGAATGTTGATATTCTCCGGTGAAAGTCGACATTCTCCAATTTCGGTCTTTCACGGTAACATATATAAAATACTCGAATCGAAGGTGACCAAGTTAGTAAACTGAGAAAATATAAATAGTTTATTTTCTTGGAGAAGGATATATATTAAATTCACTAAGATTTGAAGGTAAGCAAATTTATTATTTATCTATTTACAATGTATAATTTAAAATGAAAGAAGTTCTGGATAAAGGGAACGAGAGTGCTCTGCATTGGGTTCGATGATTACTAAATATTTAACTAAAATCAGAACAGCCTTGAATTAATCACCTGATAAGTTGGTAGATGAAAAACGTAGACTATTTACAAGAGTTTCAGAATCAATTAATAATTAATTTAAGCTCCATCAATCAATTAATCATGGAGAGCTTAAAGCTACTAAATTGTGAAATCGAAAGTAATATCCACGCTGATGAACCTGAATCCAATATGGAATCTTGAGAAGAACATAACGAGAAAATTAGCAAATGGAAAGAAAGAATAGTAGATACCAAAACTATCACTTAAATTATAACAAAATTGTAATATAAATTTTTCCGCCATTACGTTTTAGGGTTATTAGGATTTTATTTAACCAGTTACTTATAATTTCAACCTGTACTATCATTTCTGCTTTCCGTTTCCTCACCAGAATGCAAATCAGGTTAAGAGTTTTTAAACTGGAAGGTTTTGAATTGCAAGACAGAGCATATTTCTTCTTCTCGAGATCACGTTACTAGGATTCGCTAGCTCTGATAAGATTGTAATTTTTTGGTCCTGCATTATAGATGCTGACATTTAAATCGTTATGTCGGTGAAAGGTTTGAACCAATGTCGCGTTAAATCAATTTATAAAGTGTGTAGTATAATGATATACGTATATTAATGACACTTTTCTTACTCCAGTAAAATTAATATTTATTTTCATTTATTTATATCGAATCTCACAAACAGAAAATTGATGTTTATCCTTGGTTTTTCAAGGTAGCTTAAGGTTGGCTCTCCTCTTTAACTTAATCGAAAACTTGATGATGAAAGATGTGATAATAATAATTCGATGTGATCAAAGCGACAGTACACACTCCTTCCCAGTGACAGCGATAGTGGAAGATAATCTTAAACTCAGGAACTTCACATATCATCCAGTTCTGATAGTCTTGGTTTCATACTGAGTCTTTGAATTTTCTTCAGTAGCCTCAGGTGTTTCGCCAAGTACTGTTTCCTTGGAATGTGATTCTTGGAAAGGAATATTTGCTTCTTTTATTATAAAACATGGTTTTAGTGTGTCAATTGAAACTCTTTTAGCTTTTCCCTGGATTTTAATATCGAAATACTTATCCTTTCTTGCTCTAGCTGGATACGGTCCAAGATAGACAGACTCTAATGACGATTTGTTGATGATGTTATACAAGAATACATGAGAACAGTTGAATAGTTGTTTAGAAACAAAGACTGTTCTATTTCCATGGGTTATGGTACGTCATAACTTCATATCTCTTATTATTTTCTGAAGATTTTGAGAAAATTCTGACTGTTCGACCTCAGGTGTTGTTGAAACAAATTCTACTGGTAATGCTAGAGCGGATCCGTGTACAGGCTCTGCGGATGAGCAACATAAATATACTTTGACGGTAGATCTTATGTCTAAACGAATGAAAGGAATGCTTCCAGCCAAGATTTTGATTCCAACAGGTGACATTTTAGGCTTGCTTTTAAAGTTCTCTGTGGTATTTTGATCAATCCGTTTGCCTGCGTATGATACTCAGTTATAGTTATTTGTATGAAAACCAAGATATTTTCCCAAGGCTGGAAAACGTTGCCTCTCAAACTGTCGACCTAGGAATCTGTGTGGAGTACTTTAAATTCTTCCAAAGCTAACTCTGTATGTCTATGAACTTTATACCTTGGGCATGATAAACATGCTCTAGCCCATAGTTGGCAGTTTTTACACATGTTGGACCATGTTAAACGTTTTATTATCAATATTATTGTGAATCTTGTTCCTGGATGAGTTATGAATTGATGAAAATATTTTCTGTCGAAATTCTGCAGGTATGTATAAACAATTATAATTTGTAAGAGTCTCGCAGTAGATTTTCCTTTCGCTGTCCGACATAGGGATTCGTAATATTTTTAAGTTTGGGTTGCTTCTCAGTATCTCCAAATTTTCATCTTCTTGAGAGTTTGGTATCTAATTTGTCATCAATGGTATTTCATCCCCTTGGATGAACTGGATATTAGTTGAGAAGTGGCCAGTTTATGATAGTTGTCTAGCTTGTCGTGGCGAAGCTTTTCGAAACCTTCTTGGAAAGTAAATGTTATTGTTTTGTGATTAGTGTATATCGTGAAAGACTAGTACTAAGACGTATTTGAAATGCTCTACAGCTATATAGATGGCTAATAGTTATCTGTCATAAACACTATATTTTCGTTGTGTTGGTTGGGCATCACTCGATAATCATATTTTGGCCTTTTCGGATAGGTGAGTTAAATTGGTGGCATGACAAAGTGCATCTTTTGAAGCTCGGAAGGCGTTTGTTTCTTCAGTCCAGGTTATTTCTTTTCTGAAGTTTCTTTTGTACCACTGAACAATGTTGTTGAAGGTTGTTGCAGTTTCACACAATTTTCATATGAATCTGTGATAAAAATTTGCCATATCTAAAATCGTCTAGAACTAGTGAATGACTTTGTTTCCGGGAAATTGTTGATTGCATCAACTTTCGTTGAAAGAGGTTTATGTCCTTTACCTGGCTCTTCAAAGCCGAAGGGTGTGAGAATTGTTGTTTTTTGTACATCTTCCTCGCGCACAGGAATTTGTTGGTATGCTCAAATGAGTTCTATGGATAAGAGAAAACTAAATTCGACTTATTATATCATCGATTATCACATCGATTTATTATATCATCATGAATGATATAATAAATCGATGTGACTGAAGCAGCACTACAGTAGTCTTTGCTACTAGACTTAGTTCAACTTTTGAAATTGATTGTTACTTTAAATTACCTCGCTATAAGTGGTGGTTGAGCTGGTTAAGCACGAGTCGCAGATTTATGTTAAAGTTATAATTTAATAAAAAGGTTGTTTTTAAATTTTTTCAAGACTCTGTAGCTCTTTTCAGACACAGCAATTAGTGTTTGTTACTAGTTTATGCTACCACAGAAAATCAAACTGAAGGATTTTCAATTATAAGCTTCGAATGCTGTTAAATTCCTTGAACTAAATATTAATGAATTTTCTACTTTATGATTAAAATTCTGGAATCAGTATGAAAATGCAATTCAGAAAAATAAAAGTGTTGTTGAAAAATCTGTGTCTTTGAAATCTCTATTATGTAAAACTGCATTAAATGCTGTTAGTAGATTTTGACCAACTGGTGAAACCTATAAAACATCCAATGAGTTTATTAGGTATTTCTCGCGCCTTCTTAGCTTGGCTTAGCTCTTAGCTTCTTAGCGTGCCTTCGTGGTGTAGTGGTCAGCACGCTCGGCGCGTATTCAAGAGGTCCGTGGTTCGAGTCCGGGCGAATGCATTGCTCGTTTTCATATCTTTCGGCTTTAAAATAACCTAATGTCTCTATAGTAGCGCCGGAACTAAAAATGATGGTGGGTAATGATTCTCCACCACCAGGATTGGGT